TGTCCGCTGGATAGCGCTATTTTACCTTCGTACAGTATGTGTTGAACCAGCCCCAGGCCAAAAGAAACAGACGTTGAACTACACTGGAAATTTCAACGAATTGAATCAACTTCAAAAGAGTTATTCTGTCATCGTTTTTGGCGACCACTTTTCCAGTTGATTCATTTCCTTGAGATTTGGTAATTAGGTAATACAATTAAGTAACAATATATAGCATTTGTATATTAGGCCAAGAGCAACAAACGTTGAACTGGTAATACAATTAAGTAACAATATATAGCATTTGACATTTGTATATTCATAAATTTCATGTAGTTTAAAACCAGTTACTGTTAAAATTTTGAGAAGTGCAACAATATATATAGCTATAGCACTAGTTGTATATTCATAAATTTGTGGTTTTAAAAGCAGTTACTGTCAAAATTTTGTGATGTGTTTATTTGTCTAGTAAAGGTAAAAAACACAGAAGGTATCACCACTGTGGAGGCAAGTTTGTTCTGTAGACCACGATGTATATTTATAATGGTCTAATTAAAGAACCCATTTGGTAGTCAACGAACCCAGATTTCATATCCCATGCTGGATTCACAGACTACCAATAGCATTTGGCCGCACAGTAGTCATGATAAATTCAAATAATACTGTAATTTATACTATAGTTTTTGTGGCTAGCCCGTTTGCGGGCTAGCCACTATCACATACACAAACGCGATGAGCGATGATGATGGTGTCCAGTCCGGATTTTCGTAAAGTATCGGGAGCAATCGGAAGCGCCCGTATTTTTCTGCCGACATTTCACATTTGCATTTCGAGGCAATACTAGTGATGTTGTTACGACGCAGTTGTTAAACCAGAAAATTAAAATAAAGTTTATCTTCATGGCTTCAACCTATGGTGTCGAAACCGATCAGAAATTGCGCCTACTCGCCGTGTAAATATGGGTTTTGATTTGCACTTTTGACTGATTTGCCATTTTGAATTGTCTTCTTGTTGAGATTTCATATCTGAATTGCATTCGAAATGTTTGGTATTTTAAAGAAGGGGTATTGTGTGGAGGAGGTTTATAATGCAGGAAATAAAACCAGCATTGGATAATTATGGTAAAAGACCAGAAACTGTGCTTCGAACTCGTTTATTTAAAGGCTTTAAGTATACCTTTTCTTCAGACATTGACGGCGTCTCAAATGTCTACATATTTGTAATAAACCTATAAAGGATTATTGCGTCTGTCTGTCTTGGGAGTCATATAGTCGAATAATTCAGCATGATTTGTCTCACGTTCTCTTATAAGTTGACTAATATTGCATAAAAGTGGTAAAAGTTGGTGTGCTAACCAAGATTTCAGTGTATTTGTTTGCTAATATTCTAGGCCTATATCGCAAACGCTATTTGCCTATTAAAATATCATATGACACGCAATTTTAATTCCACGGCAAAACTGCTGTTGCGCAAATAACAAACGCGAGATTAAATATATATGACAGTATTACAGTTTAGTAATATTGCATTAAAAGTGGTAAAAGTTGGCGTGCTAACCAAGATTTCGGTGTATTTGTTTGCTAATGTTGCTATATCTCAAACGCTATTTGCCTACTAAAAATATATGACACGCAATTTTAATTCCACGGCAAAACTGCTGCTGCGCAAATAACAAACGCGAGATTAAATATATGGCAGTATTACAGTTTAGGTATCTTTTAAATTGCTAATAGATCACACGGAAACTTTTACAATCGTTATATTCAAAAGCCTAGCGTGCAAATTCACATTGATTTGTGTTTTATATTCAAGTGTTTGAATTCGCTATTTACATGGGAAGCGACGAGATATGACACGGTATTTTTCAAGTATACCGTGAAACTCCACTGACAAAATGAGCCCGCACAAGTGGGAGAAAATTTGCGCATTCTGACCATCGTGGTGTGTCTTCTTATTACTATTAAAGTTAACCAGCATGGCAGGCTTTCTGGGTTTGGAGGAGGGTTTGGGGAGTTAAAGTTTACCAGGCTAGCCACATGTACGCATTGCGTACCTATTTTTCTCAAATTTTAACCTCTCATTTCAAACTTTTATCTTTGAAAAAGGATAAAAATAATAATTTATTTCTATAACTTATGTATCTTGCTTAGAATAGGTACCTATACATTTAGTGGCTGCTGAGTTCATTTGGGTGATTAATATATAAATTGGCAAATTATTTTGACAAAACTTTAAATTCTTTTGGTCCTGATTATCATCAGTACAATTATTTATAAAAAGTTATATATAGTAGAAGTTTCCGTTCGGAAGTGAAGAACAGCAAAATGTGCATGAGCCTTGGGTTTTGCCAGAATGATCACGCGTGTTACAATTGGGTTACGATTACACTGATCAGAAAATTTTGAAAAAATGGAAAAAGCAATTTCTTCAAAAGTCAGTGTTTGCTGACAATTTGTTATATGAGAAACTACTTTAATTGATAAAACAGTCCACATAGAAATTCTAACAAACTGACAGTTTTTAATACCAATAAACCGAAGATTTTTCCTTTTCCTTCACAAGGTAACAACACTAAGTATGATACAAGTCAAATTGTGTGTTTAATCATGAATACACAAGTCGATATGACGCAATTCTTTAACGAATTCTCCCCAGAACATACTAGAAACGCAGTCATCGATGGAGCTTCAAAACTACAAAAATTTTCTGGGCAACTACCCTAGACTACCCTATAGAGATGCCATAATTGAAACTGTAATAAAGGTAATTTTAACATTGAAGTCCAAATCAGAACCAGGAAGTCGTGGTCAAATTAACTTGGCAATAAGGTAAAAATAATCAGGAAAATTACCCAGGAATATGAAATGAACCCAAATAGGGTTATTTGCACAAGTTAACCCGGACGTTCAACCTGAAATTGCAACATTGTAAATCAATGAGGTTTTGTACAAAGTTAACACTAAGTTAACCACGTGTATGTTGGAATGGTGGTGCGAGCTGTCAGCGGCGTCAAACGGATCAAGCTAGTCTGATGTTAATCAACTGTCCCGGGCGAGATCAAGTCATTGAAGAGGTTCAGCTTTCACTTCCACTACCACTACTCTAACTGGCTTAGTACGCATCTGATTGGTTAATCAAATATATCAAACGCGTCTGATTTGTTAATCGGATATATCAAACGCATCTGATTGGCTAATGATCCCTTAATGGCATGGGTAGTGGATCGGAAGTCAAATCTGAATGTCTCTAATATTCTGCGAAGCACGCAAAGTGTACGGTGATCTTGCTCGACAACTTAACGTAAAATCCCCACCAGCCACCCCGTTCATCAAGTAAAATTGTGTTCTTTACCACCAGTTTTATTGATGTGATAAGTGCAAGCTGAACGAGTGTGGTTGGCAGTTCAAGATACCACTTGCAGTGGATCTTTCCGTAATCCAAGTACCACCGCTCGTTCCCAAACGTCCCGGAATCACAGCTCGTTCCCAGGCCACCTCGGTTCACAGCTTGTGCACCTAACCTTCCAAATTGGTAAGTACGGTATTCCAGCAAATGTTTGAAGATATAATATTTGCTGGTATGGAGTATGGTTAATGCAGATATTAACTGGTTTTCCTTCGCTTTTTTCTGTTAAAACTCACCCGCTAATGAATTCCCATCTGCACATCCGGAAACTTTGGTGATGTAAAGTTGACCAAGATACTCTTTTAATACTAGAAAGATATCAGATATGTTTATAGCTACCAGTACGGTTACTTTTTCCCCATCCCCAAGTTTGGAAGAGCCACTTTCTTTCCTCCTGGGTAAACGAAAAACGGTCTGACGAAAAACTTGACAATTAAGACTGTCAGGTTTTAAAGCCGTTTTGACCAGAGGGAGAGTGAGCTGTCTATTGTTTAGTCGTTGCATTTTTGAGGGAATTCTCAAAGAGAGAAAAAAAAATTGAAAATTTCTTGTGACACTTATTTTTTCGAATTTCTTCTTTTCCCGAAAGGTTCAATTTCTTTCCTCAACCCCCTGACTTTTTACCACCTCCAGAAGGGTGAACAAATGGTTGTTATATGCACCCCTGAAAGATATATTACATTTATACATTATATACATACACACAATCATAATTGGGGCTATTGTCTATAGTGGCACTTTTACTGATAGTTTTCCAAATCGCTGGCATTTCAAATCTTGCATACATTAATATATTCAACAGAATCATTCATGTGCAACCACATCCTTATACACAATGTCTCGTGACGAATTTCGTCGTCGTGGAATCAGACGTTTATAGGAGAGGCGATCGCTTATTAAAAGCGGATTTTAACGAAGTGTTTCAACCGCAGATACACTAAGATTGCCATGAAATGTGTAGATAATCCTCGGAAGGTAGGCTTGTGTACTTATAGTAGTTGTGAGCTGTATTTTTCAGTATACGTAATTTGATCACAAACATTGCGACTGTCTTCATGATTGAAAAATTTTGAATGACTAAAATTGAAGTGGCGACTTTATACTTTCTCGCCATCCTTGTCGGAATGTGAAAATGTATATATTTATTCTTGATTTAAAGATTATAAGTGGGTTAATTTCAGGAAATTTGCTTTATAACGCAAGCTTTGCTGCGGCAGCCAATTTGAAAATTTGTTATTCAACATATACTTTTATAGTTTATATATGTACAAGGAAAAGTCCATTTCTTCAAGGCCCTCTCTGTGTAATGGAGGACTACAGAGAAAGATTTCACAGTAACTAAAATAAGGATAGCCTCCTGTACAGGCATATCTCTGTACTCTTGGTTTTTGTTATAGTTTATATGTACAAAGACAAGTCCATATCTTCAAGGCCCTCTCTGTGTAATGGAGGACAACAGGAAAATATTTCACAGTAACTAAAATAAAGATATCCTCCTGTGCAGGCATATCTCTACTCTCATCGTGTCTTTATTCTTAATTTTATTGGTTTACTAACGTGCGGCTAAATAGCTTAAAATCGAAGTTGGCACCCTGCCGCCATATTGAATTTATGTGCATCGGAGTCAATGGTCGGAACACAAGCGGCCCAATCTCGCAAGGGTCAGTATACACTAATATAGTATAAATGTATATTTATAGTAATGCATATTATAGTAAAAATATGTCATAAAATATAAATTTTAAAATGAAATTGACTTGCCTATTTGATAGTGTGTGTTCTCCTTTTATTCCTCCTTTGTTGGACTAATATTTTCCGAGACTTTGTACTCGATGTTACTAGTATACATGAAACATGATAAAGGCTAACGATTCCCGAACGTCGATACGACGGCACGGCACTTCGAATCGAAAATTCTCACACTCAAATCGCTTTATTCTCCAAAAAAATTCGCCAGCATGTACAACAGATGCCGTTCTTCGAAAATACGGAGATACTTCGGAGAGATGTACAAGTTTTGGACCATATTTTAACAATGGAAATCAAAACCCATTTTATATTGAACTTGCCCAGGCCGAAAATTACTACGGCGAACGTCTGCGCAACCAGGCCTCCTTTACCGTTGGATTTACAGGGGGGAGGATGCCACTAATATATTAACGATCATATTTCGAATTAAAGTATCATATTCTACCATGCTTTCCAACAAAGAGCCGCTGTATATTTCTTCTTCCTTAAATTCCTACAATCTCCGTCGTTTAGTTTTCTTTTCTTCGACAACATCTCGAGTTTTATACAGTATCCGATCGAAGGAGTTTTTATTTTGAATATCAAATTTCAAATAATGTAAACAGTCGCTATCACGGTTGCGATTGGCTGGCTGTTACCGGAAATATCTGCTTCCCCCCCTGTAAATCTCAACGGTAAGGAGGCCTGGTTGCGCAGACGTTCGCCGTAGTAATTTTCGGCCTGGGCAAATTCAATATAAAATGGGTTTTGATTTCCATTGTTAAAATATGGTCCAAAACTTGTACATCTCTCCGAAGTATCTCCGTATTTTCGAAGAACGGCATTTGTTGTACATGCTGGCGAATTTTTTTTGAGAATAAAACGATTTGAGTGTGCGAATTTTCGATTCGAAGTGCCGTGCCGTCGCATCGACGATCGGGAATCGTTAGCCTTTATCATGTTTCATGTATACTAGTAACATCGAGTACAAAGTCTTGGAAAATATTAGTCCAACAAAGGAGGAATAAAAGGAGAACACACACTATCAAATACGCAAGTTAATTTCATTTTAAAATTTATATTTTACGACATATTTTTACTATAATATACATTAATATAATATAATATACATTTATACTATAATACTATAAGTCTATACTGACCCTTGCGAGATTGGGCCGCCTGTACGTCAATAAGCCGTTATATAGTAGAGATCGAGTGAGATACTGAAAAAGACACAGTGAGATATTTTCCATATCTTCAATAGTGAAGATATCGATCACGTCAATTCAATTTGCTTTTGAGCGTGAAATTTCACAATTTTTTGCTTGGGACTATATACTAAACAGAACATTACACCGTGGCTTGAAGATACGACTTTTATGTTCTCGTCGATAAAACTCATATCTTCGCGTCGCCGTGTAATATCCTCTATATATAACACCTCATTGAATTCTGGTAATTTAATTGGCTGATTATGATCACATGATATGGAATATAAATTGGTACCACCTTATGGAATGGAAAATTACTTATTTCACCTCATTAAAATATTTTTACCATTGCAGTCATATTCATTCATTATTTGTATACTAATACCACTTGATAACATCAGTATTAATTAACAGTGTACACACCTTTCTAAGTACATAAAATCCCCACATGCATATCGTGGTATAGAAGAAAAAGCGCCAACTAAAAATAAAAACGTCAACAAATTGAATATTATTTTTAGTGAATCGATGCTTTCTTTACATTTGAAACAGAAAACAATTTTAATTAGTAAATGCACAAAATCTAGGTTGTTCCCAGTTGTCTGGAACCAGCTGTTATCGCCTCGTTAAACGTTTGATAACGGTAACAGACTTGCTACAAGTTGTTCCAACAAGACTATTACAGGCCGTTCGTAACAAGTCAGTTGCTACTGTACAATTAGCTTGTTGTCATCATTAAGTTGTTAACAATTTGTTACGTGTAAACAATGTCAGACTTGTTGGAACAACTTGTTGCGAGTCTGTTGACCTTATCAACCTTGTTAGGAGACAACTTGTTCCAGACTTGTCAACAACTCGGAACAAGCAGGGCATTGGATGGCGGCTCGCTTTAACTGCTCGCGGATGTAACTCAATATCATTTCAACTAACAAACACAAATCTTGCTGACAAGCTGGGACTTTTACGCATGTAGACGTGAGTCTTTGCTCTTGGAGAAAACTACATATTAAATACGTATTAAATACTAGGCATACTTCAAGCCCTTTCGTGCATGCTCTTTAAAAAGACTGGCAGACTGCGTTCTCACCTGCATTCTTTTGCCTTTGTCAACCTTGATTGTTTGCTGTTATTTCTTTTATACCTAAACCACTGTTCAACTTGCTTAACAGTCCATCCTAATTTTGATGCAAGTGTTTTGACTTGTTGTTTTTCTAGTTTCCCTGTCAAATCTTTATAAACTTTCTCCAGCACAATGTTAGGTTCAGCTTTACGGCTATTTCTTTCTTTAAGACCAATTTGTTTTAGTAAAGGCAGGGCAATAAACCTGAAAGAGAATAGAATTACTGGTGTTTATTTAATATAAGCCATGTGTATGTGCAAGATTCTTTAAGCAAAACTGCTAACAAATCCAAGTTATTCTTATTAACAGTTTTCCATTTTCCGGATCTAAGTTTAAGATTTAAGTTTCGGATTGTTCATTGTTGCACGCAGATGCTAGTTAATATAACACAGTCTGATATCATAATTTAAGTTTGTAAAAATACAGAAGGAATTAAGGAAAGGAGTTAAATGTCATACTTTTTAGTTTCTGTTGGATTGATCTTAATCATACACTATGTGCCATGAACTAATGCTGCATTAATTTGAAGTGAGTGGGTTGGTGATGTGGTTATATAGAGTAGGAAGGTAACAGTGGCATAGCTTGGACCTTTTAATTGGGATGGGGAGGTAGGAGGGGAGGGGGTGAAGCATTCCAATTTTACCCTAGGTGTGGCTCAGGGGCGCCGGAGCCACGGGGCCAGCGGGGGCAACCGCCCCCATTGCCCAAACAGTGCGGGGGCAGCACGGGGGCAACAGGTTGCCCTTTTCACCGGAACTGCACACATATTTTTAAACAATGTTTAAGCAATCTTTGCTTAATTTTTAACCAGTTGCAGTAAAATTAATGCTAAATCAAGTAATATGCGTCCGTTTACTGATTTTATGCTCTGAAAGCAGATCCGTGTCTGGAAGATAAAGCTGGAGGAAGCACGGGAACTGTGTATGGGCACTGATCGAGTTGTGTCTCTGCTGCCCGTACGGAATGCAATCTGCGAGTCGTTCATGTCATACTTGCGTGTAGTCAAGTCTGGCTGGCGCAACAGGTTGAATGAACGTAACTTGACTGATTTATTGCGCAATAAAGTGACAGGTCCAACCCTGCAGGTTTTCTGTGAGCGTTTTGGAGAGCTTGCTGTGGACCTCTGGAAGAGTGATAAATCACGGAGGAAGACCCAAAGGAAACGAAAACAGTATGCTGCAAGAGGAAACGCATCAAAGAGGACAAGAGAGACAGGGAGGGAAGAATTTGTAAGAGATTGGTTGAAAGACGTTGGAGCTGAGGGCGAAGAGGAATCGGAGTGTGAGGAAAATGAAGATGGAATGTATCGAAGAAGATGCTCCAGAACCGGTGAAGAAATCCTGCTAGTTATCTCTGCTCAGTGGGAGTGAAGACCCTCTCCTGGACGGAATGAGAAGCAATGACTGAGTGATCGTGACTGCATGGTGAATTTATTAATATAGATTATTTAACAAAAAGTTTAAATTCGGTTCTATTGAGCTATAAAAACTACATTTTCTTATTGTTTTGAACTGATTCACACAGAATTTGTTAATGTTTGTTCCACCCCAAATAATATAAGATGTATTGCCGTGTTCTTACAAATGTTATGTTGGTTTACATCACTATCATTTGGCCTATGCCCACTCCAGAACATAACTAAACTTTGCTTGGAAAACAGCCGGCAAAGATTTCACCTACCAAAACAGCCTACAAAATTTGACATATTTTCAGTACGTTATTTCGAACCCTGTTTAGCACAGTGCAACGAATAAAATTGTTCAAATTAATGTGCAAGTTTGCCGACCATAATAGTCACAAGTAATCGAGTATCCATACAGTAGAAGTTTTAACAAATATGGCCGCTCAGAAAAATGACGGCTGAGAAGCAAGTGCCCTTTTGAAATGGATGCCCCCGCCGCTTCACATTGATTCCGGCGCCCCTGGACTGTGGCTATCATCATCTATTATGAACATTCACAAATGCCAATGCAATATAACTGGTACTTGCAATTGGTATTTGCTTCTACTGAATTGGCAATGTGTTTGCTTACCATTGACATTGTTTGCATCAAGGTAAACAGTTACACATTTAGAATATAACTTAATGCTTACATAAAACAATACATGGTGTATAAAAAAACTGCACAGTTCGTAAAATGTTCGCTAAACTGCAAAATTTGTGAAAACTTTATGCCAGCATGCATGAGTAGTTTGGGGTCTGCTAGTATGTTTACCACTAAAGTTTACCGCTAGTATGTTTACCACTAAAACTTTTTTGAAAAGTAAATTTTCGGGTGCAGGAGGGTTGTTTTTAAAAACCACCCTAAAAATGGTTTGCGCACAGAAATGAATGGCTTAAAACGCAACTTGAATGGGTCATTCCAGCTACAGACTAAATTTTGATCAAAGCAAGAAGAACGAAATCCAACACCACTGCTAGAAAGAGCGTCTTAGAATGAGTAAAACTGCAAAGATTGGTTGCTAAATGTTGTAAAATGAAGAAAATATAGCCCTGTGAAGTTCGCACATTTTGTATATATTTGTATTACGCGCGGTAAAGATAACCACTTTCGGCTCAAAAATGGTTATTTTTCCCGCGCGTAATGCAAATATATACAAAATTTGCGAACTTCACAGGACTATATTTTCTTTATTTTACAACAATTCGCAACCAAACTTTGCAATGTTACTCATTTTAAGATACTCTTTCCCGCTATGGTAATGGATTCGTTCTTCTTTTCTAGATCAAAGAAAATGTCCGCTAAGAAAATGTCCGCTACACTACAAATTCCGCAAGATTTGTGAAAATTTTATGCAGACATGGCTAGTTTGGGGTCTGCTACAGCATACACCCTGTATTTAAGAACATGTTAAAGTAACTTCATAATAATTGATTGAGTATATATCGTATATCGGAAATTCGGACATTTTCGAAATTATGTGCGAGATTTGTGAGGGAGCCTTGATATGATGAAATATTAGCAATTATAAACATTGTAGTCATATAAGGACAGGTAAAATCAGGCAGACTTTTTATTGCTCACCCCAACCTCCTTAATTAGTGAAGTTTTCAGTTCATATAGCACCTAAATAATATAGACTGAAAACATGTTTTATTTTCAGAATTTACATATGTAGGTGTACGGGGCTGATGCTTTCCGGGGTCACAACTTAAAATGTTCCATGTCTTACATGCTCTAATAAAGTAAGACATCTGGAATGGAACAGTCTTTGCATGTAAATAATATTGTGAATTTACTATTAAGTTTTTATCTGTTTTGTTTCGGGTAATTCCGCATCCTGTTGTAGGTGGGTAATTAACTCATGTTAAGTCATGCAACTGTTCATTTTAGTGTTGGAGATCAGTGTACATGACGACAGTGTACAATGATTACAGGACGATTTTCAGCCCTGTCAACTGGGATGAAATTTTCAGCCAGGCGCTGCTTTAATAGGATCTTATCCTTGGGCTCATAGGTGTATCGGAGGAAAAAGTTAGGGGGGGGAAACAGAAAATTGCCCGATGTTGATGGAAATTTGACATTATCATGAATGGGTTTATCATGGATTGTAAAATAACAACAATAATAATACTTTTTAAAAAATTTTTTTAAAAACAATTTGCTTTAGTTAAGCCCTTTAGCTATTCATTTTTTCCTAAAAAATCAGCCTTTTGCATGCTTAATTATGCCTTTACCTAATTTGCATATTGCTGCAACATGCAAATTTTTCAGTATATAGTTCGTAATTTCCAGTCTTCAATCCATCCTGACCGTGTAGCTCAGTTGGTAGAGCATCTAGTAAATCGAAGGTCGCGGGTTCGAAGTCCAGCCGCGGCAAGCAAAGTTTTCTGCCTGCGCGCTGTCTGGAAATTACGATATATCTCACTCCATAACATTTCATCCTTATCATCTTACCGAGTGAACAAATAACACAAATTAATATACATATATATATATATATATATATATATATATATATATATATATATATATATATATATATATATATATATATATATATATATATATATATATATTATATATATATATGTTATATGTTATATATGAGAGCAAGTTCATGGGATATAAATACGAATGCATCGCGTATCTAGATGTGTACCAAGCTGTACTCAGACGAGGCGTTGAACAGCAAAACATGCATGTCTGCAGATTGTACTATAACGCTCATTCACTTCGGTGTTGTAGAGCACTCTGTGGAGTTAATTGAGTGTCCATTAGCAATAATACAAAGCTCACTAAATCCCTTGTGGTCGTTTGAGCACTCTGGTCCCATTACCATTGAAAAATTAAAATTCAGAAGACATAGTGAAGTAATTGTCAGTTACTTTGTGTAAGCCAGTGCTGCAAGAAAGCCTCTCAGATAAGATTTAACATCAAATAAGAACACATGGTAAGAGATGCCTTTAACCACATCAAAATGATCAGAGGTGCAAATTAGAGGGATGTAACGTTTATGGTATTAATATTGTCATTTTGTACATGCAGTATGGATATAAAAATATATATTCTTTCTTTGCTATTGTAGTGTGGCTTAAAGATGCGGTACAGTCTGTATGTAAACAAAGGCTTTGTTTACATTTCAGTATCCAAAATATTGAATTTTATTCCACAACTATTTATATTTTCACGATTCTAAGAGTATATAAATTATGAAAACACAACAATCAAGCTTTGCAAGAACATCAAATGAAATAAAAACCTAAATAAACTGTTTGTAAATAGGGCTCCTTTGTGCACATGCGCAGATCAGACTGTACCGTATCTTTAATGCTTTACATCTCTATAGGCCATTCGCAAACATTTGAGGAAAGTTGGCCCAAGAACAAAGGACACCCCAAAAAATATTTTGACGTGTACCCTGAAAATGATGTTTTGTAGTAAAACAGTACTTCTTCTATAATCAGGATCAGGTAATCAGTTATTAAATAATCATCCAGTGAGTACAACTAACTATGATAAAAATTCATGTAATCAGCCCTTCGCATCCCCCCCCCTGCTCAAACCCACCTATGCCCCGCCCCTGACAACCTTACTCAATATAGAGCAGATCAATTAATTAAGGGTGTGTTCATTAACTTCATTTATCACTCTATATGGGTTAAAGAGGTCAATAGTAGCTTTGAATGCTCACAACACCTGGCAAAAGTGCACTAAATAGTCTGATATGCAGTATCATAGGGGCTGCATCCTAACGTTAAAGTAAAGTAATATCTAAATTGCTATATCAGATTCATGAAAATAACAATTATAATAATGATAACGATATCCCAGAACGACATCGAATCATAACTCCGTTTTATAAAGTGTTACAATTTCTCGAGTCTTTGACTCTTGACCCTTGGCGGGTGTTTTGGTATTAATTAACATATATTTTGTTTTCTTCAAAACAGAGCAAAGGAAACAGAGCAAAATAAACTCAAGATGTTCATAGACATAGTATTAATATTACAACCACAACAAAACACACGTAGTGTATCATTATAAACTGCTGCATGGGAGATCAATTGCCGAGCTCTAATATAGTCAATATATATATTAATAAATATTTCCACATATAATTGGGTATTATTCTATCCCAATGATTTTAACAAAAATATCGCCCGTTTCATTTATATATAAAAAGAATGTAGAATAGTAAAATTCCTCTGTTTTGAAATATTTCAATGCCGAATATTTTGCACGACACAACTGTTTAACATCTCACATACACATTCATAGTACTGTACAACAGCTTACCTTTCAAAAAACATCCTTATAAGCACGATAATGAACGTCAAAGGAACAACAATGTATAAATCGCGTGTTTGTGGAATACGAATGTTATGTTTGTTAGCGGTCAGATGTTCCCATTCTGTCGTGGGAGGCAGCCAAAATGATTCGCTCCAAAACCAGTGACTAAACTGCTGCAACATTATTATTTATTATTATAGCTTTCTTTAATAATGTTAGTTATCTTTCTTTAAAGTTAATAGTTAAATATTTTGTTAGTAAGAAATGAAGCAGTATTGTAGCTGCGTTGTTTATATTCACGCTCAAACGTTCGTAAATGCACATGACACGACTGGAATGTACCGACGTTGACATTCATATGCAAATTTCAGAGACATTTCCCCGGGGTAAAACATCACTACAGGTATACAGTCTCAACAATAATATGAGAATTGTTTGAAGAAAAATATAAAATGATATCTATACAAACATGACATGTTTTATGAAAGGAAGGCACATCGAATGAAAGCTCACATAAACGACAACCTTGGCGTGAGGTCAGCAATAGGGATAAAATCCCCGGTATAATTTGGAGCGAGGTGATGGGCGTGGTAAACCACCACAAAGACCCAGAGACAAAGACCTTAATATCGTATTAATAATAATTAATATTGAACGTGGACGTAATATTGCATCGGCAGAAAATAACGAAACATGCGAAAACTTAGGTTTAATAACTAGGTTCGACCAGAATACTGTAATTGAAACTTCAAACTGGGTTAACTAAGCTGGATTTTCACTAGAAATATTTTTGTGGTCGAAATATTTCACTGATGACGTTGTCTTGAATTGTGACCATCTAAATAATCAGTTCTACTTGATCGCTCACAATTCAAAAGAAATTGAGCGAAACATTTCGACAGCGAAATTTTCTCGCAATTTGAACCCCTAAAAAATAGGTTTAGAGTTAACGCGTGGCAAACTGGGGTTAGTTTTGACTTTTGACAATACACATTGGGCTTTAATATACGTATTTAGTGCGGTGGATTGAAAATCTTGACCTTGTGTTGTTTGAAAATTTTGACCTTCTAATTGTTTTCTTATTCTTCAAGGGCTTATTTATCGTAATTATAATTGTATTCAAAGAGCCAATTAATGGAATAAATCTGAAAGACGTTTTGATGCATGTCATTGTTTAATCCTCAGAAAAAAACTAGGAATTGGGATCCTGAGGAACATTTGTACTAATGACATGGAGGAACATTTTCAAAACCTAGCTTAGATAGGAGCATTTACGATAAATTTCAGGAGGAGAATTTATACAGGGAAATGTATGCACATCAAACACTTTTTCCTGGTCTGTACAGTATATTAAAACAACGTGAAAATCTGTAGTTTGCGTTAGATTCAGGAATTTGTGTTAGTTTTGGCAGTAAACACATGTTTATGAGTATGTGGGAAAACTGGTGGTCATGTCACCGCGGTTGATCGATGGTCTAACCGCGGTTTTATTTAAAGACCGGCTTACACATCTATCGCTTACTTTAATGATAAACTGAACTTCAAGACAAGACTTCTGGAAAATATTTCCAAGCTTATATATAGCTAATGTATAAACAATCTGTTGGAAAGCTTGGTTCGAGGTTTTCTAATAGTTAACCCATGGTTAAGCTAACCGGCATTCGAACAATCGCCCTTCCCGATTTTTAATTTAGCTCAGTGCTACAGGAATCAGAAGAAATCACTGATTTCAAAATCAATAGTGTTATGTGCAGGAGGAGGCAATATAGCGATCATGCATATTTAGTATTTTTGCACAAGTGAACATAACAAATCCTACACGTTGATTGGTCAAATTTGACGTATTAAGCTGTTATATTCACCTACAGGTTAGCCTGCGTAGCAGGCGTTTAGTGC